CCCCACCCCCGCAGGCCCTCAACCCTCCCACGGCCCCGCTCGCAGTCCTGCGCCCCCCTGGCCCCGGACCCCGGCCCATTGTTGGCCGGCTTTTCCACCGCAGCTTCGCGTCTGGCTCCAGAGGGAAGCGGAAACCGGGAGACCGCTCTCGAAGCTTCCTGCGCCGTCAACTTTTCAGGAGCGGCTGGAGAGAGAGAGATGCATGTGCCAAGCGAGACAACAACCCCAGGTCCATGTGTTCAAATCCCTGTAGCCAGGGGCGGCGGCCAGCCAAAGAAAGGCCGCCCGGTGCAGGCGTGCGCGGCTCCTGGCTTCCTGGGTTTCATACCCGCGGAGCTCGGGCGCGGTGAGTATTTCCGATTTCCAGGAAGTCTGTTGGAAGTCAGCAGCAGGGAGCGAGAAGGCACTTGTTTCCCTCCCTCTTTTTGCCTTGCCTTTTTCTGTTCCTCCCCTTCTCCTGGTCGCTCTGATTGGGGGGCTTGTTGGTTCAGAGGTAGCGAGCGAGGGGGCTCCCTGGCAGCCCGATGTGTCTCCTGAACCTTCGGGCTCCTTGGCCACCTGGGATGTTTGCACTCGGGTCCTGTTGTGGGAAACGGCGCTGCAGGTGAGACAGAGCAGCCGGAGGAGGAATTATAAATCTTCTCTTTCTCTGTTCACTCTCTCTCTCTCTCTCTTTTTTTTTTCCCAATTCGGAGACTTGAGACTGAGAGCATCTTGGCCTGTGCTCACTCCAGGGTTCAAAAGACAGCAGCTTTAGGTACCAAACAATAACTTTTTAAAAATCCACCAAACCAGAAAGAAGGGAGGAAGCTGAGAGAGGAATCTGAAGGCATCCCCAAACCCTGAGGAGGATGGTTCGAGTTTTCTTCCTTTGAAATGGACCAAGTGATCTGACTCCCCCAGGCCAGCAGGCATCGGTGGCAGGAAAATAAATCATCCTGATGGCTAGAGAGAGAGAGGTTGGCGGGAGAGAGAACCCTATGTAGAAACAAGCAAGGAAGGCCGAGCGAGGCGCAAGGATAGGACTCCATCTCTGAGGCCGGCATCAAAGGGGGTTTGGGTTGGAAATTGATATAAAGTGCCCTCCATCCTTGACTAGCCCAGAGCACTGCCTTACAGATAGAGATGCTATTTTGGAAAATGTGAGGTTTTTCAGTTTTCTTGCTTTTATTCCAAACAAAGCTCTGAAGGAAGTCTGGGCGCGATCAATCTTGCTCACCAAAAGCCTTGACAGCTTCTGGCCCTTAAGAACACATTTCAGCTTCGAGCTCTTTCCAAGATCAAATGTGGCCCAGCAAAAGAGGAGAGCAGGAAACGCAAGTAAACAAGGAAAACTGGACTTTTAAAAAAAGATATTTTTTTGGCAGTGGACAGAGTTATAAGGCTGCTTTTAGGAAAGGTGCTTTGCGGACTCTGGGATGGCAGCTTTTGGTGTTTGCTTTTACCAGAAAATATTGAGGGGTTAAGGGGAGGGGGAGCTACAGAGAGGGAGCAGGGCTGCCCCCATATCACCGAGGCTTTGTCAGGGGCTGCGTGGGTGAGAGCTTTCTGCTGCCTCAGCGGCCTTAATTCAAATACCATCTGGAAGAAAACCCTTTCCTTTGACCATTCAACACTGGAATCTCCAAATCTATTACTTTAACTCAGGAGATATTTTAATAAGGATTTCTTTTTAATATCTAGGAAGCTGGGGGTGAGATCGATATTTTTTCTTTGGAAGCCAAAATGAATGTCTTGACTGGCAAGATGTGGAAAATCATTTTGGAATCTCATTTTTAAAAAATCTCTGCCCTGGGGGAAGGAGAAAGCCTCCAAACCAGTCTTCCCTCAGCTGAAGAGTGGATTTTAGAAACGGGTTCCAATGGTGGTCTCTGCAAGATATCCCCCCTCTCCCTCTCTCTCTCTCTCCCTCTCTCTCTCTCCCTCCCCACACTGTTCCTTATTTTCCCAGGTAATTTTAATTTTCATGCACTTCTCTAAAATTATCCCTCGAAAGGGGACACTGGCATCTGCTCACCCTGCCTAGTCTGGATGTGCACCACCCGAAGGGCGGAAGCTCCAGTCCTCACAAAGGCTGCGCTTCCAGCCTGTTTCTGAGACGCGCCATGTTCCAGCAGGGAGGTTGGCCGTGGGCTGGGGAGCGAGTCCACTTCCTCCACAGCCCAAACCCTCTAGAAAGAGAAAATACACGAGGAGCCCCGGGACAGAGGGGGGCAAAGCACCTCTGGCTGTGAAACGGCCAGGTCCTTCCAGCTGCCTAGGTTTGCGCCCTCGGAGCCCTTTCTCTTTCTCTCCAAAAACGCGAGGAGGTTTCCTAAGAGCAGCTCCTGCGGACGCCGCAGGCACCCAGAAGTGGCTCCGGTGCCCGTGTCTACAGATCACCTGAGGGAGCTCCTGGGGGGGGGAAAGACAGAGGCCACGAGGATGGACATTTGGACTGCGGACAAAATGGCGACATCTCCACCTCTGCTCAGCAGCAGAGGCTCCAAGGAGGGGCTTTTCTCTCCACGGCAGATGCTCCGGGTCCCCAGACGCAGGTGGTGCCTCGCTTCCAGCTTCCAGGTGGGCTGCTGATGGGACGCGGCTCTGAGGTTTGCTCCCTGACTCGCGGCCCTGCGTTAACCTGAGGGCGGAAACCTGTCCCTTTCCGCCGCCTCTGTGCTTCGCCGGCCCGGCCAGCAGGCAGCCCAGGAATAGAAAGGTCCCGTTTAGCTCCTGTAGCAGCGGATGGAAGAAGCACTTATAAAATTGCATTTTTATTACAAAGATGTTAATCTCCTTTCTCTCTCCCCCTCCCCCTGGGGCCATAAAAAAAAAAAAAAAAAAAAAAAGCGGGGAGGGAAGGAGAGGAAATCCATCCAGAGAACTCCAAATCCAAGGTTCCGAGAGGGCGCCGGTGCGGGGGTCCCCGAGGTCCAGGGAGGGGCCGGCGGAGACTCGGGCGAGCCTGTGCGTCTGTCCAGCCGCCTCTCTCCCCACGGCGATTTCAGAACCGGTCCTTTCCTCGAGGCTGCGTAAAGCACCGCGAAGCCTCGGCGGGTGTCCCGTGGCTCCTTGAAAGTGCTGGGCATCTTCCGCGCGGCCGCCGGGGTCCCAGGTTAAGGCGCTGGCTGGTCGGCTTTGACCGGAGGAAGGTCGCGGACGCGAAGAAAGGCCGCCTGGTCCCCGGCGGGGTCGCCCGGCACCTGTGCGCC